TCCAGAACACTTAACTGTGCTCATGAAGAACCTATACATAGACAAAGAGGTAGTTGTTCAAACAGAACAAGAGGATACTGAATGGTTTAAAATTAGCAAAGATGTGAGCCGTGATTGTATTCTTTCATTACTATTATTCAACCTGTGTGCTGAGCAAATAATCCGAGAAGTTGGATTATATGAAGAAAAATGTGGCATCAGGATTGGAGGAAGACTCACTAACAACCTGCGATTTGCAGATGTTACAACCTTGCTTGCTGAAAGTGAAGAGGACTTAAAAAACTTACTGATGAAGATAAAAGACCACAGCCTTTAGTATGGGTTGCACCTTAATGTAAAGAAAACAAAAATCCTCACTATTGGGGCCAGTAAACAATACCCATATAAATGGAGAAAAGTTTGAAGTTGTCAAAGACTTCATTTTGCTTGGATCAACACTTATGGAAGCAGCGGTCAAGAAATCAAATGAAGTATTGCACTGGGAAAATCTGCTGCACAGGACCTCTTTACAGTGTTAAAGAGCAAAGATGTCAGTTTGAGGACTATGGTACACCTGACCCAAGCCATGGTATTTTCAATAACCTCATATGCCTGTGAAAGTTGGACAATAAGAAAGACTGTAGAAGAATTGATGCATTTGAGTTATGGTGTTGGAGGAGAGTATTGAAAATGCCACGGGCTGCCAAAAGAACAAACAGATCTGTGTTGTAAGAAGTACAGCTGGAGTGCTTCTTGGAAGCCAGGATGGCCAAACTTCATCTCTCATACTTTGGACATATTGTCAGGAGGGACCAGTCACTGGAGAAGGATATCATGTTTGGTAAAGTGGACGGTGGGAGAAAAAGAGGAAGACCCCCAGCAAGGTGGATTGGAATAGTGACAGCAGCAATGGGCTCAGGCATAGCTATGATTGTGAGGTTGGCCCAGGACCGGGCAGTGTTTTGTTCTGTTGTGCATAAGATCACTATGAGTTGGTACTGACTCGATGGCACCTAACAGCAACAACAACTTCCCATGATGATTGTAACATAGCAGCTGCTTCAATCCATGTATTTGTTTAAATCCCATCCAGAGACCAACAGTTCCTCATTCTCCTGTTTATCTCTTTTTCCCAAAACTACATATTCTAGTGAATCTGGGCTGTTGCAGTGAATCCCACTTCTGACACCAACTGGAAGAATGATGTTGTAAGGAAGTCTGCCTGCCTCTAACTTCATGAAGGGGACAAATCGCCATCCACAGCATCAGCTCAAGGCTGACTCCAACTGTAAGACAGAGGCCAGCCATGCCTCCTCTCTCCAACCTTTATCCCACTTCTGACACCAACTAAATGGGCAATGTCTTTCATAAGGATCAGCACAAAGCTGCTTCTTTTGAGGTGGAAGGAAAAGACATCCCAAATGTCAAACTTTTCCAAAGTGCTGTGCCACTCCATCATCTCTAACATCAGCGTCCCCACCCCTGTCCCCATCAGGTATGCACTGTCCCATCTTTGGGTTCAGGAATTTGCTGCAATGAATCACCTAACTCACTAATTGTATGACAGTTAAGTGGTTTATGGGAAGTTACAGAGTGCAACTTGGGATATGGATCAACTTGAAAGAAACAGGGATAATTTAGAAATAGCAGTCTTCAATCAGGATAGCTTCTTCTCACTCTCTGCTGCTGAGCCCTGCTGGGGACCTTCTTAGGCAAGTGTTACTACTCTAGATCTGTGGGTCAGCTAATCCCACCATTGCCATATTGCATCCGTCTGCTGGTTCCCGCTGTCTCAAATCAGTATTGCTCTTGCTACAGCTACACTGCTGTCTCTCACTTCAGATTCCAACTCTTCTTTCTGTTTCTCCCCTTGTCTCCCTTGAAGCCTAGCAGGATGGTAAAACTGACCAATCCCCTAGTTAGAATTCCATACACCCTTTTTGGTTGGTACCACCCCCACAAAAGTACTGTTGTTGTTTGGTGCCATTGTGTCGCTGTCAACAACCCATAGTGACCCTGTACAGTTTCCGAGGAGCAGCTGGTGAACTTGAACCACCGACCTTATGGTTCAAATGACTTTGCAGTCCAGAGCATTAACCCACAGTGCCACACCAGGATTCCACAAGACTAAGATGCACCTTAATTTACATTATTACCAAGCTATTCAATCCACTTGGTGGGCCACCAGTACTTTAATTTCATAACCCGGCTCAGTCATTTGGTGGCAGGTACAGACTATGGCTGTTGTTGTTGTTAAGTACCATCGAGTCAGTTTTGACTCATAGAGCCCCTGTATAGGGTTTCCAAGGAGTGGTTGGTGAATTTGAACCATCAATCTTGCAGTTCTAATGACTTTGCTGTCCCACAGTGCCAAATCAGGACTCCACAGACTATAGATTTTTTGTTGTTGTTGTTGTTATTGTTGTTGTTAAGGGCTGTTGAGTCAGTTCCAACCCATAGTGAACCTGTATAGGGTTTCCAAGGAACAGCTGGTGAGCTTGAACCACCAACCTTGCAGTTCAAATGACTTTGCAGTCTGCTGCATTAGCCCACAGTGCCACACCAGGGCTCCACAGACTATGGATAGAAGAGCCAATTAACTAATTCACTGTACTGCACAGGTACTGTTTCGAAATGCGTTACAAATATTTCTTGCTCAAAACTGCTCTATTATGTCAAAACTTTTAATTCCCATTTTAAAATGGAAGCAACTGAGGCACAGAGAGGTTAAGCTGTTGCCTGAAGTCACACAGCAGATGAATTTGTGTCCTCTATATGGTTACAAATCGGGCTACGAATCTTAAAGTCAGCAGTTCGAAACTACCAGCTGTTCCGCGGGAGCAAGATGAGGCTTTCTGCTCCCGTAAAGATTTACAGCCTCAGGAACCCTGTACAGGGTCACTTGTGGGAAGTCAAAGCATGTATGTCATTCTTCTGCTCAAAACCTACCAACATGTTCCCATCTTGCTGGGAACTGAAATGAGCACAGTGGTCTCATGTTCTGCTTCCTCTCTACTCTGCCTTCTCATTGCCTCCACTTGTCTCAGGGCCTTTGCACCTGCTGTTTCCTTAGCCTGTAAGGTTCTTCTCAATTTTCCATGAACCTCACTGCCACACTTCATTCAGATCGTTTCTCAAATACTAGCTTCCTGCTGAGGTTTGCCCTGGATCCTACTGAAAATGCAACACCATCCACCTCACTAGTCAGTCCTTTAACCCCTTTCTTGCTTTATCCTTCTTCCTAACACTTAAACAAACATACTATATATACTCGAAGGGGTTTTCTTTTCTCCCCACTACAATGAACACCACAGTAACAGTGATGTTTATCTGGTTTCTTTACTGGGTTTTTTTCCCAGTGCCCAGAATTATATCTGTTGCATAATAGGGTATCCCATTGTATTTGATGAATGAATGTGCTTGTTCACTGGTAGAATTTCCACCTTCCAAGCGAGAAATCTAATTCTCACCAGTGTACCTCACCACATGTACAACTTATCTGAGGCTTGTGTGTTGCTATGATGCTAAACAGAGATTTCAATGGTGCCTCCAGAGTAAGATGGACTAGGAAGAATGGCCTGGCAAATTATTTCTGAAAATTAGTCAATAAAAATACACGGATCACTATGGTCCAACCAGCAACCAGACAGGGATGGCGCAGGGCGTTTCAATTCTATTGTGCATGGGCTTGCCAACTCAACCGAAGATGACAGTATGTCACGTGCTGTGTGAGGTACCAGGTACATTGTTGTTGCTAAGTACCGACTCATAGTGACCCTGCACAAGGTTTCCGAGGCTGTCAATCTTTACGGGAGCAGAAAGCTTCATCTTTCTCCCGTGGAATAGCTGGTAGTTTTCAACTGCCGATCCTGACCACTACGCTACCAGAGCTCCTTATCAGGTACAAAAAGAATAAAGAAAAACAGGTGTAGAGTGTGGTAGACACCAAAGTCACTAGTGTTATCTGTGGTTGGATGCTGGCATAGAGCATTATGAAAGCAAATCACCGGTGGATGATGAAGCACATATGCTTATTGGGGGCAGGTTGTCAAGGAACCCGCCTGAAGTTACTCCAACAGAGTTAGCGGGAGAATGAGCTCCACAGAAGCAACAGCTTGTCAGAGTGAAGTCTACCTCATTCAGGGAAGAGAGCTGTGTGTGGCTGAAATTGAGTGCTGAACGTGTACAGCGGGGTGTTTCCTTCACCCCTTTATGTCAGAACAATGAGGGCAGCTCCCTCTGTAAGTGCCTCCCGCCGCCCTAGGTTAGCAGCCCTGATCCTGGAGGCTCAAAGAGAGCGTGTGGCTCCAGGAAGGAGGCCCGGAGGGCCAGCTGTCCCTCCAGGGTAAGATCCCAGACCGGTCCAACCACCACCACGCGGTCTTCCCAACAGTCTGGAATCCCGGCAAGCCGCCGGCTGAGACGCCTACGCCCGACCGGAAGGCCTCTGATGCTGGGGAGGAGCAACTCGGGAGGCCGGAACTCGTGGCAGGGCCAGACAGGAAAGGGGCTCAGCCCAGGAAGGGGACTCAGTCGGGGTAGAGCCTGCAGCCTAGCAGCCGCCGTAGCAACAGTAGAGGGCGACTGTTTGCCTATGACATACCGAGGGAGGGGTGAAACCAAGTCATCCTTTGACTGACAAAAATTTTACCATATCAGCGTACAGTATTGGCAACTCTCCGCCCAATTGAAATTTTTTTTAATCTGAAGGCGGTTTCGTCAAGAATTCCGTCAGCCCAATAGGAGAGGTGGAAATTTCCAGAAAGAACTGAACCAATGGGTGCGGCTAACACGGCAGTGATTGATGGAGCAGACAGCCATTCGCTGTCGCAGAAGCCCGCCCTTTCCGCCAATCACGGAGTCGAAGGTGGGCGGGGGATTGTTGGATAACGCCCAATCCCGAGGAGCGGGGGAGACTGGGCTAAGGGGATTACTCTCCGTTGCCCAATGAGATGGAAAAGCAGATGATAGGCTGAGGTTCAAGCCAATAGGAGAGAGGCGCAGAAAGCCTCTATGAAGAGCTCTACCAGTAAGCAGGCGAGGAGGGGGCGGGAGCTGGGGGTCCCGGCAGCTTCTAGTAGGTTCCAGAAGGCGGCGCGTGCGGTTGGGAACGCGGAGCGGACGGGATCGATTCAACGGGGTTCCGGGCCGGGCTATGGAGCAGGTGAAGGGGGAGGGGCAGGCCGGGCCCTCATGGACGGGACACGCCACGGCCCCAGGTGGAGGGCGTCCCGCGAGCGGAGCGGGCTAGCAGCGACGTGGGGCGGGGCGTGAGGGCCTTGGCGGCCGGGCTGGCGTGTGGAGTGCGGTGAGGCCCGGACCGCCGGACCTCTGGGAGCGTCTCTCGAGCCGGCCAAAAAGGCCGGAGAAGCGGCGGTGCCGCGGCGAAGAGAAATGGGGGGGCTCTAGGGTGGGCGAGGGATAGTGCCAGTGGCTCCTGGAGGGAGCTGAGTCGATATCGAGGATTCGCAACCGAGGGGATCGGAGGTCACCTAGGAGCAAGCCACTCAGGACTGACTTAACCCCCAAGAACTTGGAGGAGTCCGGGCAGCGGAGGGATGTCTCAGCCTGGAACTCAGTTGGGGGGAAACTACTTTACTGCAGCTGCGATCGGGGGGCGGAGTGTTGATGGGGACCTGCCGAGTGCGAATCTAATCCGAGCTTCACCAGTGTCCGGCTCCTCGTCCCCCCCCACCCCACCCCCGATTTTGATGTGATTCTAGGGTGACTGGGGCCCAACGTCGTTCTCTGGTTCCTCCAGGAGGAATTGGTGGCTTCAGGAAATTGAGACTACCGATGAAGCTGAAATGAATGATTTGCCCCCCGCTCAGCATTTTGGGGGGCCGAGCTTAATGCTGCTGCAGGTCGCTTTGCGTGTCTTAGTTCTGTCCTCTTGGCCTGTAGGTCGTGAAAGGCTTGGAGGCATTTCCAATGGGAGCTGTTAGGGTGGATGGGTGGGGGATGTACAAAGCTGAACTTTTTTGTTCCAAGGATTTATTTAACCTAACTTGGAACTTCCTGGCTAAAGTAAAAAGAAAAATGAAGAGTGGCTATGGACGAGTTAATAAGACCTTTTCCTCCCTTGTAATAAACTCGCATCTGGGACTAAGTAGGCTGTAGTATACGCAAGAGACTTGGAGTAAGAGACACACTGCTCTATTAAATTTAGGAAAGGGACTCTTCCCACACTTACCAAAATAGAAATCACACCGCCCATTGTAGACGTTAAGTGCTATCAAGTCCATTCCAACCCTTAGCAACCTTGGATAGGCCTCTGAGGAGCAGCTGGTGAGTGTGAACCGGCGACCTTGCAATGGAGTGCTTACCCTACAGCCATGCACCAGGACTGTGTGTGTGCTGAATTTACATGTGTGAATCTGGACCGACACCTTTAGATGACAGGTGTACCCATCTAATGACCTGGCATCTTGACTGCAGGTGTGTTTATTTTGACTGTCTTAAGCTCATTCCTTTTCGTTTCCATTTTCAACTCTGAGATTTGTAGTTCTGTTTTGGACACATTTGCATGCCCAGCATTGTGTTTTAACAGTGCTTTCCAAACAGACCCACACTATAAAACTCTTCAACACAGCTTAGTGATTATGATGGAGTCCTGGTGTGGAGTAAGCACTGAACTGCTGACTACAAGGTTCAAACCCACCAGCCGCTCCTTGGAAACCCTATACAGGGTCCTTATGAGTCAGAGGCAGCGTGACAACACTGTATGTCTGTGTTGGTGGTATTCTTTCCTCCGGTTGATCTTAACATGGTGATTGTGACCTACAAAGTTGATTTCCTAGCCCACTGAGTCCCGAATTATGCTGTTCCATTTCCTGTCCTGTTCAATAGCGTAGACAAGGAGTCCTTGTGACCCATCAGTTTTGACATTCTGCTGCTAACCAAGAGGTTGGTGGTCGCTTTGCGTGTCTTAGTTCTGTCCTTAGTGAACCCACAAGCCGCTCTGTGGTGGGAGTACGATGTGGCAGTCTGCTGCATAAAGATTGCTGGGGAGTCGGTTCTGACTTGTAGCCACCCTGTACAGGGTTTCCTGGTAAGTTTGAACCGTTGACCTTGTCGTGTCCACTGCTGATCCTACAGCGCCATACCAAGAGTCCCTGTACAATTGTAGTTAAGTGCCGTCAAATCGCTTCCAATCCATAGTGACCCTGTATAGGGTTTCTGAGAAGTACCTGATGAGTTTGAACTGCCAGCCTTGCTTACCCTACAGCACCCCGCCATCTTAGAAATCCTATGGGACAGTTCTGCTCTGCCCTACAAGAGCATTGTGAGTTGGAATCAGCTTAATGTGGTGTCTTTGGTTGTTTTAATAGGATAGACAATCACCAGGCTGTTCTTCAGTTGTTTTTTGATATCACTTGGGTTTTGTAACTTTGCCTTCTGACCTCCTCCATCTTGGGCCTTAAGATTTACATCTCTTAGTAAGTTTGGTAGTCTCCTTGCCTCTGCGATCTCTCTGGTTGCTGCACATTCCCGATTGGTAAGCCACAGGGTTCCAGAATCTGGGTTGTATCTGTATGAGTAGACTGGGTCTCAGGCAGAGCTAGTTGCATCCTTAGATCTCCATGTGTTTGCGTTTTAAAGACACCTGACTTGCCGGGGAGGGACTGAGGTCCCTTCACTTTTTTTGGCCTTTGGGTGTGTGCCTTTCTTACATAGTCTCCACCCCTTGAAAAACACTTCATCTTTAAGCTTGGCAAGAATGAATGTTTTTTAGGTGTAGGTGCCTGGGGAATCGTATATGATGCTATAAGGTAAGCACTGGTCTGCTAACTGTAGTCAACGATTGAAACCTACCTTGGAAATGCTGTACGTAGGAGTCAGAACTGACTTGAAGGCGCTTAACAACAAGGGAGCTCTGGTTGGTGTTGTGGCTTACACACTGGTCTGCTAACTGCAAGGTCAGCTGTTCCATGTGAGAAAGCTGAAACATTCTGTGCCTGTAAAGATGTACCGCCTCGGAAACCCTTTACGGGGGGTCATTGTGAGTCGGAACTGACTTAGCAGCACACAGCTATCACCTGCAGCCACCAGCTTTCCTTTACTCTATAAGGGACAGCCTTCATCTACCACGTGGTAGCATCACCACATGAGTACATGTGGAAAGGTTCTTCATGGGATCCCGGCGAGCTTAGTTTATCCTCTGGGCTCTTGGATACCAATGGTGAATGAATTTACTCTTCACAAAAGGAAGCCAGCTGTGGCTTCTTCGTCTGTGCCTTTGGAGATTTTTGGAAGAGTGGCTTAGTCAGTGGCAAGCAGAGATTGGCCTTCTTGCTCCAGGTTTTTTTTTCCCTGCTGGCTCCTAAAAGGGTGAGAAGTTTTCAAGAAGTGACTCACAATTGCTGTCTTTGATTTGTAAAGTAACCCATTGGATGGTAACTGTAGAAAGACTACCTTTTACCTAACAACTTAGACAAAAAGTATGCAGAGTATTATGACGGAAAACCACATTGGTGTCTGTGGTTTCTTTTCCACGTCTTCTGAAACATCTTCTCATTTCAGGTAAACGAGCTGAAAGAGAAGGGCAACAAGGCCCTGAGCGCCGGGAACATAGATGACGCGCTACAGTGCTACTCCGAAGCCATCAAGTTAGATCCCCAGAACCATGTGCTCTACAGCAATCGGTCTGCGGCCTACGCCAAGAAAGGAGACTACCAGAAGGCTTATGAGGACGGCTGCAAAACTGTGGACTTAAAGCCTGACTGGGGCAAGGTAAGCTGTTGGATCTCTTCAACCGCTTCCCAGAAACTCCAGCTCTCAGGCCCTCCCTAGTTGCCGACTTGTCTACTGGCAGACTTGATCTGTTGTCCACTCTTCCTCCCTGTTTGAGTATGTTCTTCAGACTAATAGCGTATTTTGTCAGTTATAAGATAGGCTTTAGTTTCTTTACAGCTGAGAAAGAAAATGTTGCCAAAGAACCTGACAAAGCTAGTGACCCTAAGATAAGGGGATTCGGGGGTGTGCTTAGCTGTTTGGCAGGAGTCTTAAGGATTGGTCTTAGTATTGTGTTCGGCTCCTCTTTGTTTACTTTTTGACCTTCATATGAATGTTTTGTTCTGTGAAGTGTAATAGAAGTTCTTCCGCATTCATCTTCCAGATTTGCCCCCAACTCCCAGAGAAAAAAAAAACACTCTAGTAGCCATCTAGTCAGTTTTAATTTATGATGACTGTGTAATAGAGTAGAACGGATCCCTAGCATTTCCAAGACTGTAAATGCTTAGAAAAGCAGACTACCACAGTTTTCTCTCTTGGAGTGGTTGGTGGGTTCAAACTGCTGACCTTTTCATTAGCAGCTGAGCGTTTCACTACAACCCCACCCTTGGACTTAACCTCTGGATGGCCTTTGTTTCTGTCTGTCTTTGCTGGTTTAAGGGCTATTCTCGAAAAGCAGCTGCCCTGGAATTCTTAAATCGCTTTGAGGAGGCCAAGCGAACCTATGAGGAGGGTTTGAAACATGAAGCAAATAACACTCAGCTCAAGGAGGGTTTACAGAATATGGAGGCCCGCCTAGCAGGTAGGCACCATGTATTCATCTTCTCACTGCTTCTTTAGCTGCATTGGTTGAAGACTGGATTTCCCCCGGCATGGCAATCCGGGAGGCTCTGGGGCACTGTAACGAGAGTGGGTCTACCTCACAGTGATTCACTTTCCTTTGTTGGGACAGAGAGGAAATTCATGAACCCTTTCAACATGCCCAACCTGTACCAGAAACTAGAGGGTGATCCCCGGACAAGGGCACTGCTCAGCGATCCTTCCTACCGGGACCTGATCGAGCAACTCCGAAACAAGCCTTCTGACCTTGGCACGTAAGTTGAAACAACAGGTTGTGAGCTTGTGCGATCTGTCTGGGACTCTGGGAGAGCTCTCAATTCAGGCCTCAGGTCTGTGACTTTGTCTCCACAGAATGGTCTTGGGGTCGTTGTTGTTGTTATGTGCCGTGGAGTCGGTTCTGACTCATAGCGACCCTGCACAGGGTTTCTGAGGCTGTTAATCTTTACGGGAGCAGAATGCCTCATCTTTCTCCCGCGGAGCAGCTGGTAGTTTTGAACTGCTGACCTTGCAGTTCGCAGCCCGATTCGTAACCACTACGCTGCCAGAGCTCCTTCTGGTCTCGGGGTGGGGTTGTTTATTTGTGTTTGTAGACAAGATTAGGATTAGTCTGGAATGTTCTTAGCTAATTCACGCATGCTTCCCCCCTGCTGTCTTTTGATTTCATCCCTCATTTCCTCACACCGCCCCCCCCCAATCTGTCAGTGTACTGACATGGAAACAGGGTTGACACCTCAGGTGTAAGTATGTGTGTTTCCGATTTTGGACTGCTGATAATCACTGTCTGAATCACTCTGGTTTCTGAGGTAAGATAGTAAAGGGTCGATTCCTCACGTTACAAGTCTTGCATGGTATAGTGTCTTACCTTTTGATGGCTGAGCAATTCCTGTAGCTAGGAACCTGAACTTCTGCTACAAGTGGAGTTTTGTGGTAAGTTGTGGAGAGGAACATTCGCCATTTTTCCTTCTCAATCAATATTCTAGAAAACTACAAGATCCACGGATCATGACCACGCTCAGTGTCCTTCTTGGAGTTGACCTGGGAAGTATGGATGAAGAGGAAGAAGTTGCAACACCTCCTCCACCCCCTCCTCCGAAAAAGGAAACTAAACCAGAGCCGATGGAAGAAGATCTTCCAGAGAATAAGAAACAGGTCTCCCTATGTGTTCTTCTTACTGTCAGTTACCCAGACAGCCCTAGCCCCTATTGGCAGATGGGGCTACCGATAGGCCTGCGTGACCATCATTGTTTTAGTGCTCAGTATGCGCTCGTTAGGGACCATTGAGTCAGTTCTGACTTATTGTGACCCCAAGTACAAAGAAGGAAACACTGTGTGGTCCTACGCCTACTAGGCACTGTTGTTCATTGTTATTAAGTGCCGTCAAGTTGGTTCTGACTCACAGTGACCTTGAATAGGGTTTCCAAGGAGCATCTGGTGAGTTTGACCCGCCTACTTTGTGGTTCAAACCAACCTTGCAGTCCAGCGCATTATCCCACAGCAGTGCCACACCAGGACTCCAGGCCCTGTTAGGAGGGCTATTAGCAGCTCTGCTTGCACAGGACAAAACACCCATAGAGAGAGATTCAGTGTCTTACCCAAGGGCATACCGCTAGCATATAGAATGATGTTGTTGTTAAGTGCCGTTGAGTCGGTTCCGACCCATAGGTTTCCGAGGGTGTAAATCTTTACGGGAATAGAAAGCCTCATCTTTCTCCCGTGGAGTGGCTGGTAGTTTCAAACCGCTGACCTTAAGGTTCGCAGCCGGATTCGTAACCACTACGCTACCAGAGCTCCTTCACCTTGAACTAGGTCTAACACTGCCCTTTTCACAAACCCTTAACCCAGTAGCAGTGTGGTGGGCACAGTGTTCTTCCAGTTCTTGGTTTGTAAACTTCTCAGTATCCGCAGGCTTCTTGGGAAATTGGAGCCACTTCAAAGTGGACAGGGGCTTCCACTGACAGTCATTTTGAGGGGCTTTTTGGTCTTTGGGCAGCTTTGTTTGAAAAATCATCTCTCTCTCTCTGGGTGGACAGGCTCCTATTGGTGGGAAGTGGCCACCTTCTGTTCTCATCATTCATTCAAGTGGTTACTATATTAAGAGATCAGCTTCACAAGCGGTGTGAGAGGAATCGTGTTCCTCAGACTCGACAATGAGGTTCCAGTCGCCTCGGCCAGCTACCAGTGCTCAGTGGTCCCGCCTCGAGCCAGAAGAACTGTGTTTCCACCAGTGTAGGGGCGCTTGCATCTCCACTGATGGTGGTATTTAGTTGAAAGTTGTCCACTTAGCATTGATGTCTTCCAGCGGGAGGCGTGTACCTAAATGCTTTATTTCCTTTGTAATGGAAAGAGCAGATTGCTGCCAAATTTAGCACCTTTAAATGGGTGAGTGTTGGTTGTTCTAGGTGTCTTCAAGCTGGAAAAAGTCCCCACGGTGTGGGTGGTGTTAAGCTGTGGCAGACTTCTGCCACTATGGCCCTGCGCCTCACTTCCCCCACCATCCACATTGTTCCCTGACAACTCAGACTCCTACAGTAAGACTTGCTGCCAAACAGCCTGTCCGCCAGTTGTTTCCAATGTAAAGGACTTCTCTTCCCCTCCACTTGCTGACCAAACTGCAAAGGCGGTGAGAATGGAACCTTAGTGGTGATATCTAGCTGCTGCCCTGTCACTGCTGTGTCAGGAAAAGGCCGAGCCTTGGGGTGTGAGTGCACGTGCTGTCTCCGTGCCTGTGACCAATCAGACATTCTTGTCCTCTGTGCTCTCTCTGAGTCAGCTTTGCTGCACATTCATAGCTTCTAAACCCCGTCTAGGCCCTGAAAGAAAAAGAGCTGGGGAACGGTGCCTACAAGAAGAAAGACTTTGACGTGGCCCTGAAGCATTATGACAGAGCCAAGGACCTGGACCCCACCAACATGACTTACATTACCAATCAAGCAGGTGAGATCCAGAGCCCGGGTCAGGAGGGGTGCTGGACATTTCAGAGGGAAGAGGCTAGGACTGACTGTCCCTTCTCCACCATCCTGTCTGGCAGCGGTGTACTTCGAAAAGGGTGACTACAACAAATGCCGGGAGCTCTGTGAGAAGGCCATCGAAGTGGGGAGAGAAAACCGAGAAGATTATCGACAGATTGCCAAGTATGCTCAGCCTTCCAGAGGAACTGGAGGGGTGTACAGGGTTCCATGTTCAGGACGTAGATTTCCCTGCATGGGGAGGGGGCCTGCTGGCTCCAGCACCTGCCGTGTTCAGAGTGGGCAGGTATCAGAGGAGACAGGTGTGGATGGGGTGCTGGTACAGGGATGGACCTAGTCTCTGGGCCTGCCCTGCGCAAATACTTTCCTTCCCTTCATGCTTTTATCAGAGCATACGCACGAATTGGCAACTCCTACTTCAAAGAAGAAAAGTACAAAGATGCTATCCATTTCTATAATAAATCTCTGGCAGAACACCGGACCCCGGATGTGCTCAAGAAATGCCAGCAGGTGAGTCAGGAATGAATTGGGGCTGGGTGGGGTTGCTACTCAATATGTTATTCGTCCTTTTTTTTTTCTATTTTTACTTATTATTTCATTGCTGCTTTTTGGTAAGTGCTGTCAAGGCAGTTCCCACTCAACAACCCGGTATAGTGTTTCCAAGGAGCGCTTGGTGAATTTGAACTGCCGACTGTGAGATTGAAACCCACTTAGTGGCCCAGCACTTGATCCCAGTTGCACACCAGGACTCGTTATTTAATAAAGAACCTTAAAATTTAGTAATAGCTTTCATTCTCTTAGGACAGGAATGTCTAACTAATCCTGTTTCCTCGCGCGCCCCCTCCCCCCCCTGCCCTTTTTTTTTTTTTTTTTTTTTTTTTTTTTGGGTAAGCTTTATTGTGAATTTAGTGAAGGTTTACAGAGCAGATCATCAGTTTTACATTCAACAAACCTTAACACTTCGTTTCCTGGCAGTGATGCAGTCCCCTCCACCTAGCAACAGAATTCACGTCTGTTTATTTAAGGCTTGCATTTCTCCCCGGCTCGCCCGCTGCCTTAGTCTTCCTTTACCACTCTCCCTCTTGTAGACACCTTCCCCATCACCCCAGTCCACATGGCTGTCTTGCAGACCTTTTCTACTGATGAGGGTCCGTGTACTAAGAGTTTTCTGATTCTTGTAACAAGGGCTTATTTGACATGACAAACATATCATGCTACTTGTCATAACTGAGGAAGAGGAATTATAGTCACACAGAAAAGTCATTTGCCCTTTCCACATAGGTTGGTCTGTTTGAAAATGTACTGTAGTGATAAAGAATATAAACTTACTAAAACAAACATTTTCCCAGTAGGAAGGACCCTTTGAAAATTAAGATCCTGATTCGCCTCAGTAGCCCAGTATTTTCTTGTATGTGGCACTTTAATTTAGTGTTCCATCGTTCTCTTCACAGGCAGAGAAAATCCTAAAGGAGCAGGAACGGCTGGCCTACATAAACCCTGACCTGGCTCTGGAGGAAAAGAACAAAGGCAACGAATGTTTCCAGAAAGGTACCTAGCACCTCCACCTGCCTTTGTGGGCCCAGTGGGAGATAGTGGCTTGTTGCCTTTTAAAAACTCGCCTTCCCTTTCCCTTACCAGGGGACTACCCCCAGGCCATGAAGCATTACACAGAAGCCATCAAGCGGAACCCACGTGATGCCAAACTGTACAGCAATCGAGCTGCTTGTTACACCAAGCTCCTGGAGTTTCAGCTGGCGCTGAAGGTGAGGGAGGGGTGCAGGAGTCTGGGCACACGAGTACACCAGCAGGGAAACTGGACTGAAAAGAATAGACCTTCCCCACAGACTTTGAGGTCCCTGGTACTGTTTTGTCACTCAGTGTTCTCCTTGGGGGCAGGCTGACGGTGTCGTGTTGGTGTTCCTTTGAGCCTTTGCTGTGCTTTGGTAAAGGTTGACAGCAGTTTAGGTTCCCGTTCGAGGATCTCGGGTAGTGTGGATGTCATTATTCACCAGCCCTGAGCATTCTGGTTGTGCAGATGTGCTCCATTCATGTCATTTCCTTGTCCCCTTGTAGTCTCATCATCGTTGTTTTAAAGTTACCATCTTGTTGATGGTTTCGTCTAGTGTAGGTGAATTCATAAGGGAGTACAGTACCTAATGGTTGTGGTTCAGTACTGTTGAGTTGGTTCCAACTTATAGTGACCCTGCACAGAGTTTCTGAGGAGCAGCTGGTGGGTTTGAACTGCCGACTTTGTGGTTCGTCGTCCAGTGGTGATCCTACAGTGCCACCCCAGGAGTCCGTATTTAGGGATGATATGACAGTAAGTCTGTGAGGTTTAGAAACTTGAGGTTCTGGGCCATGTGATTCTCCGATTCTATCTGATATTCCTGGTTTGATCGTAGATTTGTGGTGGACCGTATGTGTGTGGATGTAACATAGGGGTTCCCTGGCCTGCGCCTGTTCTGAGGCATTGGTGGTGGTTGGGAGCTCTGGGGGAAGTGGAACCTTCTCCCATCCCCACCCCCATACTCTTTACTGTTTAGGCCAGCTGTTCCCATCAGATGTGGTGATGTTCCACATTGTGGGCTTGTTCCCAGTTCCCCTCAGCGTATGCTGAGAGGGTGTTGAACTGTCTGAGCAGACACACCTAGACCATCTTGTTCTCGGCAGGTGACGAGTGTGGCTACCTGGGTCTGGTGGTTTGGGCTGCACCGTCACTACCATCTGGGGTGCTATCTGTCTGGAGAGGTTACATCTAGTGGCAGGACTATGCGTGTGCTACGTCAGAAGCAAAAAGAGCAGCTCTGACTTTATATAGGGTACATATAGGAGGTATATAGCCAGCACGCACACAGTGAATGGAATTACTAAGGCTGTGTAACCTCTTGCTGGAGAAGTTAAAGGCCAGGTCTGCTAACTATACTGGATAGTGTTGTTTTTTCTCCCTGTTTTTTATTTAGAAGAATCGTCATGATTTGGTTTATTCTCCACAGGTCAGCAGTTTAACATAACAGTATCTTTTTCTGAACCGTGTGTGGAAGAAATTCACCCTATTGTCGCTCTTGAGCGAGCATCTCCAAGATGGCGCCCTGTCCAGTCACCATACTGGTAGCACTCCCAGTAACATGTTAGGTCACCACAACCAGATTTCCCCACCTGTTCCACAAACAGTATAAACTGCCTATACACTGTGACACGCCAAGCTCTCAAGTTTTTCGTGTTCCCTTTGGATGTGTCAGGAGGGACCAGTCATGGAGAAAAAGGATGTCGGGCATGATAAAGTAGAGGGGTCAGCAGGGAGGACCGGACCCCTAATGTCTCGAGACAACTGGCACATTGACAGCAAGTTAATGTGAGGAGGACGCTGGAGCAGGCAGGCCGTGTTGTGCATAGAGAGGCTCTTGAGTCGGAACCAACTTGGTGCTAACAACTCCTTCCTCAATATGGAACAGCATCTTACTTGCCTTGTTTTTGTGGTAAAGTGCCGGGAAGTCAGTTCCGACTCAGCAACTGGTTCACAGTCCAGTGTTTATTCTACAGCACCACATCAGGGCTCCTTATTTCTCTAATGCTTCCTTAATTTAAAAAAAAAAATACAACTGATTGTGTTAAAAGAACAGAAACGTATTGTCTTACATTTCTGGCAGTCTTGAGCTCGTGGTCTGTGCTGGATTGATGATGATTCTCTCCTAGGTTCTAGTGTCGTGACCTGCAGCGCTGAGCTGTTTTCTTTACTCCTATCTTTTACCTTTTGCCTGTGTGTGTGTTTCTGTTTTCTTTTTGTCGTGTTAGGAAGGACACCACTTCCCATGATTTAATTTGGGGTCTGCCTGCCCTGCTCTGATATGATCATGTTAACATAAGCAAGAATCCTTGCCTTCTAAACAGTGTGTTTGTGTCCCTATGGGGCTGAGCACACTGTTCCAGCCATAGCTCCCCACCTTGGCATTTCTTCCGAGCCTCAGTCCATAGTGCACATTGATCTCTCTTCTTCTCACCTACCTTGCCCCCCTCTTGCCTCTGTGTGTGACCACTGTTACACAGCCCAGGTGTTGAGGCTGACAGACAGAGGGGACAGTGAGGCGCTGCAGTCCTCGCGTGAAGCATCCAGCTGACTGGACCACCGTCCTTAGATGAGCTCCTTCTGGGCCTGGGGCCTCATTCTGTCTCCTCCTTTTCCTAGGACTGTGAGGAGTGTATCCAGCTAGAGCCAACTTTCAGTAAGTGCATTTCTGCTGCTTCTCCCCCCTGTCTCTTACTTAGACCAAAAGGTGAGAGACAAGTAACTGCAGATTCTTGGTCCATCTGCCCATCCTTGGGCCTGTCACCGTTGGGGGCCTAGCTTTGAGGGCGTGGGAGGTGGAGGATGCTGGTGTGCAGGTGACAAAGTGGAAGACGTCACTGTTAGAACTGCACTTTGGGGGCTGCTTCACCTTCCACTTGTGTCTGTAGTCAAGGGCTATACGCGGAAAGCGGCTGCCCTCGAGGCCATGAAGGACTACACGAAAGCCATGGATGTCTACCAGAAGGCCCTAGACCTGGACTCCAACTGTAAGGTGGGCCTGCCCTTCACCTCCGTTCATCTGCCTCTCCTCCTGGAGAAGCTCTGCCATCGAGGGCCTGCAGAAGCCCTGAGCCAGGGAGGACTAATGCCCTCCCTCTTGGTCTCTGTGGGCTTGCAGGAAGCGGCAGACGGTTACCAACGCTGCATGATGTCCCAGTACAACCGGCATGACAGCCCGGAGGATGTCAAGAGACGAGCCATGGCTGACCCCGAGGTGCAGCAGATTATGAGTGACCCCGCCATGCGGCTCATCCTGGAGCAAATGCAGAAGGACCCCCAGGCGCTCAGCGAGTACGTAGAGGTTGGGGGCTGCAGGGGAAGGCGAACAAAAGGAATTAGGAGAGAGAGTGCAGGGTCGTGGCCAGTCTGGGTAAGATGTTTGCTGTCTACTTCTTTCTTAAAAGGTTGGCAGCTGCTAAGGGGAGCTGGGAGGGCTATGTATTTTAGTCATGGTAGCTGATCTGTCCAATGAATGGACCAATTTGACTCTGAGACTCCAGCTGTGTCCGTGCCCTCTGCAAGGTGGAAGTGGCCAGGTTCTGACTGGAAGGTAGAGAGGCCTTTGCAGGTCTTCTGCCCGGCTGTCTGCCTGCACTTCTCTTCAACACCCTGTTGGCGTCTCATTGGGAATTTTGATTGAGCAAGCAAGACTAGAATTCTAGAGTTGAGTTTCGTTCCAAGCAACTCTGCCTCTTCTTTGATAGACACCTGAAGAATCCCGTAATAGCTCAGAAAATCCAGAAGCTGATGGATGTGGGTCTGATTGCAATTCGGTGATGACTTGCGCAGCCCCCTTTCCCTTCACCCCACGAGGAAAGGAGCTGGGAGCGCGGCAAGCAGCGGAGCAAGAAGGGAGAGAAGGGGAAGCCAGCGCCGGTCCCTATATATTTATGCCTACCGACACGAAGGATGAGAGACTCTGCCAGCTGCCGCCTTGGCCCTCCCAGCACGCGCATGGTCTCCTCACTGCTGCCCTCGGTTCCATGTACCCGCCCCAGCCCTCCATCACTGTTTCGGCTGCTCTCCCATAGTTGGTTATTTTTTATTTGGGACAGTTGGGCATGTGTGGGGAGGGGAGGGTGTTCTTCCCATCCTCAGGTCCCAACTGTCTTCACATTGTTAAGTCCACGTCTGTCTCCATCAATAAAACAAGCCAGTCAGGCGTGGTTACCTGTTGTCACATTCTGTTCTTTACTTGGAGGGCCCTGCTCCTTAGCATCTTTGGGCGGGGTGTGTGAAGTGAGCACGCCCTGCTGTCCTCAAATGGGCCGTCAGTCACCAACGTGGCCAGCAGATGGTGCTGTCAGCCAGTTCTGAAGGAGCCTTCACTGGGTCAGATTCAGAAGGCCATTCCCAGGGTCCCCCATGATCTCAGCGTCAGTAACCAGACAGGACCCAGTAGAGACATAGGGCCAGCTGTCCTGTCTGCTGCCACGTGGTCCTCTTAGCAGTAGCTCATGGTCCCTAAGACTCAGTGCAAAACAATGCCTTCACCCACAGCTCCCGTGATTGTGACAAACTATATTTTCTACAACCCTCTTCCTGTACCAGGGAGACGGGGGCGGCAGTACAACTTCCCCATCTCTCCCAGAGCACTGCTTTCTGGGCTGGGGAGGCCCCAAGCCCAGCACATTTCCTGCTGCTGTCTGCCTTTGCACAAGCGGCTTTTCCCCTGGGAATCCCAAGCAGGCTGCCCAGTCAGCCTCACCTGTCGCTTCCGCGGAACCTACGTGGTATAGTGCAGGTGACCTGAGGCCCGTACTTCTCCGAGAAAACCGTTCCATACGGAGACAATGCTAGGCTCAGGAGTGGAGTGAACAGTCATGGGGCGGGGGGCAGGCTGGGGAGACCTGTAAATGGCTAGGGACCAGTGTTTGCTCATCTGTTCACCTGGCCAGCTATCAAGAAAGAAACCCTTACCAGGGGGCAGGAACAACTAGGAAGGTGCTTATACCTTGAGTGCCTGCTCTGAGGGCCTCCAGTGATGAGAGCCAACTCCAAAACTTCTAACACCCAGGGATCCCCAAAGGCCCTAACCTTAAATTGAAAATGAGGCACCTACCGCTGAGCAGCTGAACACCGGGCTTTGCTCCAGGTGAGGGAGGCTTGGGACCATCGCTTTTTTTTTTTTTTTTTCTCCTTCCTACCTATCTCCAATTCTCCGTGCCCCAACCTCCTGCTTCCTGTGTTCCTTGGATGGCAAGTGCAACTTGCACCCGCAGCTTCCTGCACCTAGGCCTGCCCACCCTGGGCGGGGCCAGCCAGCCCTGCAGCTGCGATCAGAATAAAGAAGGGCTGCCCAGTGAAGGCAGCTCCAAAGAGAAAGCAGAGGGGGGCGGAAGCGCTTAGGGGCCAATAGGCACCTTCATCTACACCTTCTTCCCAACTACAGCCCCCCCACTGCCAAGCAGCGCCTGTATAAGTAAGGTAAGCGGAGGCCCCCTCCTCACCCTCCTACCCCACTGCCCACAGCCTCTCCGCATGGCAGCTGGAACGTTCCACACCCTGGAGCCTTCTGCAGACTGAGGCCATTGGGGTCTGAACTGTGGACCACCCTGAGCTCTGGCCCCAGAAGGCTAATGGGGGTGGGGGTGGGGTGGTTGTGGCTACTGTAAGGCTGGCCTGGACCACCCGAAGTGAGTTTTCTCACCAGTCCTCAGTCTTCCCATCTATGAGATGGGAGTGGGTTGGACATGTCTTTGAGGGTCCTTTGGGCGCAACCATCGTGCTGGTGTGTGCCTGAGGTTTGTCTAAACAACTTGGTACCCCCAGGGCTTGCTGTGGCCTGTGGGTGTACCCCTACTGTCTAAGGAACTTGGGGTGGGGGTAGAAGGCTCCTGCTTAAAACACCTCAGCAGCCCCCAGCCCTGGCCCACCGTGGTTCCTCCCACCCGCCCCTGCAGAAGCAGCTGCCACCATGGCGGGCATGAAGACGGCGACCGGGGACTACATCGACTCGTCCTGGGAGCTGCAGGTGTTTGTGGGCGAGGAGGCTCCGGAGGCTGAGTCGGTCACCCTCCGGGTCACAGGGGAGTCGCACGTTGGTGGGGTACTCCTGAAGATTGTGGAGGAGATCAGTAAGTGCCCTGCGCCAGCATCCCTGGGCACTTCCGGGCCACCCTTCTGCGCAGCTCCCGATAATGGTGTCAGTGACTCAGGCACCAGCTTAATCTTGGTTCCAAAGAAGCCATTTCCCCAACTTCCCCTCCTGCCTACTGTCTTCTCTGCCTTCCTCCCACTCGGGTTGGTTCTGCTCAGTCCAGTAGGAGAGGACCCCTCATTCGCTCACTTCCTAGAGGAGGGAATGAGGCCTTGCCTGGGGTCTGTGGGAGGCCAGAGAGGGCTCCTGGGGGGTCTGCTCCCACACTTTGTCCCCAGGCAGCAGGTCTGGGTGAAGGCCTAGCCTGGGTGGGAAAGCCCTGCCCCCACAGGAAGTTACAGCAGACCAGCCTGTGGTATCAGCATGGAGGCGCAGACAGTGACGGGGGCTTCTCATAGGCCTCTCCCCGTGGGTGTGGGGGCTGCTCTCCTGATATGCAGAGCCGGAAGGCAGGCCAGCCGGCCCATAAGATAGCCCCATGCCAGCCCAGCCGGAAGCCTAGAGCTCGACCTGGGGTTGGGTAAGGGAAGCCCATCAGACCATCCACACATGTCCATGTGGGGTGGGAGGCCTGTCAGCTGCAGGCAGGGTGGCCCCAGCCCAGCCACAAAGCTGGGGCACCAGGGCCTTCCAGAAGGCGGGGCCCAAGGAGGCTGTGAAAGCAGAAGTGGGAGCAAAGCGTCCCTGAGGAGACTAGGCATTGGACTGAGTCGCTGAGGCAGGTGTGACGTGACCAAATCCCCGGCAGAGGGGGATGAAGACCCAGCAATTCACCAGAAGAGCTGGTTGGTCCCAGGGCATGGTACCCAGACCATTCAAGAGGCTCAAGTGTGGGGTCACCAGGGGCACATTAACCAGTAAGCACGATCTGTACTGGCTTAATTGTGCTTCCTTGCTAATCTGTGGTGAGCAGTTTCACCTGGACGGGTTTCATGACGTTGTTGGTGTGCTTGGGACAAGTGACATTTTGTACTCAGAAGGCATGAGTACCCCTGTATATCTTGCTTACTGGGTAACTCGGGCCAGAGTCAGACAGACATACTTGTTCCTCCCTCCATAGCCTGGGCCCCCAAGGGTGATGGGAGTATTGTCCTCAACGATCCTTCTTCCCAGCCATGCCTACGTGAGCCACACCGCTGCTCAGCCAAGCCTGGCTGCCAGGAGTGTGTGGGCAGCTGGGATTCACCCTTCAGCCACCTGGCTCAATCGGTGCTGGGGGCTGAGTAGGAAAAATTCTCAGAGGGTCTGGAGCCAGAAGAGAAGCCATGCCCAGTCCGGGATAGAGACAAACAGTTCTTAGTATGAGCCCTAAGTGGTAGACATGGCAGGGAGGGGCAGGGTGCTGATGTTGGGGTACTCTGAATTAGGGCCTCTGGGCAGGTGAGAACCACCAGAGCATGGACAAGAAACAAGTCTGGGATGATACCCTGAACAGCTCACAGAGAGCCTTGAAGGCCACCATACGATGTGGGTGGGGTCTTTGCCCAGAGGTGAAGAGTAGCTCCTAAGGGTGCCAACAGGAGTCCTCATGCTGAGGTTCTCTTCTGGACAGTTGATGGGTGTGAGCTAGAGGCAGGGTCGAGGCCAAAGAGGAAGGGCCTACTGGGGTCAGGCCATGGGGAGGACGGAGGGAGGGTGACCCCTGGGCTGGTATTGACATCAATGAAATGTGGTGGCTAGAAGCCCAGAAGACAAGGTTTGGACCCCTGGCAGCTGAGTCATCATCACCTAGCCTTGAGACGGGGAGGGGCTGGGGACATAGTGTCTAGTTCCAGATGATGAGGGATAAGGGATGTTTCTTTATGTCCCCAGTGCCTGCCCAGGGCCTGGAAAGCAAAGTCTTCTCTAATGAATGAAGCCAGTCAACTTGCCTGGGGGTTTCTGGCCTCAATTTCAGGGAGTGGTCTGGACTGGAGGCAGATGATTAGGTGGTGGTGGAGCAGCTGAATGTATTATGTGAGGGGAAAGAGGGTCCCCAATTGAATGGGGAAAGGACATGTAGGGGTCAAGTCAAGAGAGGGGAGCAAAAGAGGTCAAAGCTGGACAAAGAGAAAAGGGGAAGTGGGCTTCACAAAGCCCAGGACAGGCGAGGGGCAGGAGGCCCAGGAAGGTCAGATGAGATAAAGAAGCGTCCCTCACATTTAGCAACGCTGGTGGCGTTGAGGGGTGGAGCTGGTGGAATATAGGAACCAAACTGGAAAGGATGAGACAGGAATGGGAAGTGGAGACACCACGGACTTTCAAAACAAGGAGCAAGGGAGGGCTGGCTTTGTAAACTGTAAGAAAACAGCTGTGGGCGATCTTGTCTATGGGTTCCTCTCTCCAGTTCATGCTTCTAAAGAGAAAATGCCTGCCATGCCATTCCTAGCTGGGTGACAAATGAAACACTCTTAATTTAATGTGTGTTTTAAATGTTGGACTACTCATCACAAGGTTGGCAGTTCAAACCCACCAGCTATTCTATGGGGGAGAGATGAGGCTGTCTGCCCCCACAAAGATGTATAGCTTCAGAAACCCTACAGTCCCGATAAGTAGTTCTTTTCTGTCCAGTAGGTTCACTATGAGTTAGGTTTCAATCGATGGCAGTGGCATGGGTTTTGGTTGGCGCCTAAGTATGTCACAAACACTGAATTTTCTAAGTGGCAGACATTATTCTGCCTGTGTGGTTAATTGCTGTTGTTAAGTACTGTAGAGTTAGTTCGACTCATAGTGACCCTGCACAGGGTTTCCGCAGCTACAGATCTTTAAGGGAGCAGAAAGCCCCATCTTTCTCCCGCGGAACAGCTGGTAGTTTCGAACTGCCGACCTTGAGGTTAACAGCCCAATTCGTAACCACTATGCTACATAGTAACTCACTAAACCGTCACGGCTTCGTATAGGGTAAGAAAAATCATTATCCATACCTGGCCAACAAGAAACCGAAGTACAGAGAAGTTAAGTGCCTTAACTAAATTAACACAGAGCTAGTAACCCCGAGATAATCCCACAGTGCCCTCTCTGTGCCTGGCACAAGCCCAGGCCCTGAGGAGGGGGCAGGAACAAGATAAACACAGAGCCTGCCCCAGGAATCCTGGGAGTACATGTGAGAGACCAACATTATGGGAGATGGGAGATGCAGGGAGCCGGGATGTGTGAGGCCAGACATCTAAGGTAGAGGATTTTGGGTGGGGGGCCCCTGGGAAAGGGATGTAGCATCTGAGCCTAGGAGGAGGGCCAGGGGGTGGTCAGCAGTCCTGACATGAATGACCTTGGGCTTTGACCCTGCCCTTGACTTGGGTGTGGCCTGTCTTGAGTGTCAGGATGACAAGGTTGGGTAGGGCCTTCCCAGCTGATGCCCACGCATGCCCTCTTGTGGTCCCTACAGAGCGTAAGCAAGACTGGTCCGACCATGCCATTTGGTGGGAGCAGAAAAGACAATGGCTGCTGCAGACCCATTGGACATTGGACAAGTATGGGATCCTGGCTGACGCCCGCCTCTTCTTCGGGCCCCAACACCGGCCGGTCATTCTGAGACTGCCCAACCGCCGTGCCTTGCGTCTGCGGGCCAGCTTCTCCCAGCCCCTCTTCCAGGCTGTGGCCGCCATCTGCCGCCTCCTCAGTGAGTGGACAGGTCACCCCCACTCCCCAGATGGTGAAGGGGAGGCCAAGGACCGCAATCATGTAGCAGCAGGTCTAGAGTGTTACCACTTCATGTTCCCAGGAAGGAAAGGAAGTCACGCTGAGAGATACTCTAATGTAGCTCACTGTTTTGAAAGCAGGCTTACGATTGGGTTACAATGTTGGAGGAGCCCCGGGCAAGTTGTTGTCACCTTGTCCTCTGCTGGTCCCCCTCCTGCCTACAGGACCCTAGCCTGCCCCCAGGGTGCCCATGGGAGGGATGGGGGTCCCAAGGAAGGACCCTGGTCCCTCTGAGGCCCCAGCTCCCTTCAGGTATCCGACACCCTGAGGAGCTGTCTCTGCTTCGGGCTCCAGAGAAGAAGGAGAAGAAGAAGAGAGAGAAGGAACCAGAGGAAGAGGTGTACGACATGTCCAAAGTTGTCCTGGCGGGGGGTGAGTACAGGCAGAGCCGGGGCCGGGCGGTGGGGCAGGCCAGGAGCCCAGAGCGGGCATAGCTGACCTGCCCTGCCCTCCAGGTGTGGCACCCACACTCTTCCGGGGGATGCCAGCCCACTTCTCAGACAGTGAGCAGACGGAAGCCTGCTACCACATGCTCAGCCGACCCCAGCCACCACCAGACCCACTCCTGCTGCAGCGCTTGCCACGGCCCAGCTCCCTGCTGGACAAGACCCAGCTCCACAGCAGGTGCCATGTCCCCCATGTCTGTGGCCCCACCCAAGGCCCACTCGCCCATGTCCCAACTCACAGACCTTTCCTATATGCATGTCTGCCCCCCCCCCGACACATACACACACACACACATGCTCAGCGTGGCCCTGAACCCCCCCTGCTGTACCCAGGTGGCTGGATTCATCACGGTGCCTCATGCAGCAAGGCATCAAGGCGGGAGACATGCTCTGGTTGCGATTTAAGTACTACAGCTTCTTTGACCTGGACCCCAAGGTAAGCTGGGGTCGGGTCTGGGAGTTGTAGAGGCTTACTAGGGTCTGTGTGTCTGTCCATTGGTTGTCCAGACCTCAAGTTTATTAACTAACTCTGCAGATGCCGTGCTAGGGCCTTGGCTGATGCTAAAGCTATTTCTGTTGGTTGCTATTTCGTCTGTTCATGGGGATCCCATGTGTGTTAGTATTGCGCTCCAGAGAGTTTTCAAGGCAGAAGCAGACAGCCAGGACTTTCTTCTGAAGCACCTCTGGGTAGGTTCGAGTCACCAAGTCTTTAGCAGTGAAATGACAAATCTTCTTCACCACCCAGGGACCTTGTCCTCCTGTGCTAGTCTTTAGGAGTTTCTCAGAATCCAGAATGGGTTTCTGTTTCTCAGCTGTTTCTTCTAGCGCTTTCTTCAATATGATATGCTCACAATTCTATTGTTTTATTTTTCCATTCCACATAGTACTATTGACTTTGTATGAATGATGAAAGTGAGCTGTGTTACACACCTCCCTCCCCACCACACATCCATTGTCTTGCGTCCATCTGGTAAAGTTGCTGTCTGTTGGTGTCTCATCAATTCCAACTTGTGGGAACCCCGTGTGTTACAGAGTAGAACTCTTTCATACAGTTTTCTTGCCTGTCACTCAACGGAAGCAGATCGGAAGGTCTGTTCTTCTGTGACACACTGGGTGGGTGCCAATCTCGAGGTTCGCAGTTGTGCACAAACTGTGCCACTTGGGGACCTTAAAATTTCAATGAAAACGTGACTTAAAATGACGGTGACTGTAAACGGTAGCATATGTGAACTGTATTCTTAGATAAGCTGCAGATTTTATCTAGTACCACAGAGCTCTGGTAGCATAGTGGTTACGAATCGGGCTGTGAACTGCAAGGTCAGCAGTTCAAAACTACCAGCTGCTCCGTGGAAGAAAGATGAGGCTTTCTGCTCCCGTAAAGATTTATAGCCTCAGAAACCCCATACAGGGTTTCTATGAGTCAGAACCGACTCCACAGCATACAGCCACCACCATATTTTTATTGGAGTGCTGGCATGGCGCTGTAGGATAAGCACTGGACTTCTAACCACAAGGTTGGTGATTTCAAATCCACCGGGCACTCGTTGGAAACCCTCTACAGGGTCGCTGTGAGTCAGAACTGACTTGGCAACACTTAACAACAGCTGCAGACTGTATTTACTCATTCTTCTACTAATTGTCTATATTTAGAAGAATATAGACCCCAAGAGGCGATTTAAATGTTCTGTGTGGTTATGGCTTGTCACTGTAGGTCTTCAGCATGACCAGGCAGGATGTCCCTTAACTCAGCTTCTCCAATGTTGTAACCCAACCATACAACTCCTTTCAAAGCGGTGAATCAGATTCCTTTCCTTCTTGGGAACATGAAATGGTAACACTCCGGACCCGCTGCATGACTTCTGCCCCTGGACTTCCCTTCGTCATCTGTCACAAGGGCCCTATATTGGATCCTTCTTGATTTATGCATCACTTGTGTTCCGCATTCTTGAATGGCTCCCTCATTTTGAATGAAGACGTATTTCAATCACTTCCTCCAAAAAAGTCCATGAAACGTAATTTTTTTTTCAATTCTGCATGTCTGAAAAGTTCATTCTTCTACCCTAAGTATTGTGGCAATTTGCTAGGTAAAGAATTCTACATTGGAACCATTTCTATAGCTATGTAGCGTTTCATTACGTCGACGTTGTTGTTGTTAAGGGTCATTGAGTCGACATGATTCATAGGGACCTTGTCTAGGGTTTCCGAGGCTGGAAATCTTTGTAGAAGCAGAAAGCCGCATCTTTCTCCCTCTGAGTGCCTGGAGGGCTCAAACAGTGTTTACCCTACAGGTCCACCACACTCCCTTCATTATATCCATATTGTACTTGTTGTTAGGTGCCATCAAGTCGTTTCCGACCCGTAGTGACATTTTGTATGGCTGAACGAAACAGCACCTAGTCCTGTACCAGTTTCACGGTTGTTGCTACACTTGAACCTATTGCTACTGGCACTGTGCCAATCATCTCACTGGGGGCATCTCCCTCTTTCTCTCCAACCCTCCACTTTACCAAGCATGGTATCCTTCTCCAGGAACTGGTCCCTCCTGATAATATGTCCGAGCTATGAGAGACAAAGTCTGGCCATCCTGGCTTCCAGGGAATATTCTGGCTGTACTTCTTCTAACACAGATCTGTTGGTTCTTCTAGTAGTCTGTGGTACTTTCAATATTCTCCTCCACCACCATAACTCAAAGGCATCAATTCTTCTACAGTCTTCCTTATTCACTGTCCAGCTTTCGCATGCATATGAGGTTATTGAAAATACCGTGGCTGGGGTCAGGTGCACCTTAGTCCTCAAGCTCACATCTTTCCATTCTACTATTGATAGGCATATCTTCATTTATTCTACAACTTATCCAATACTTAGTATTTCCTGTATTTTTCAAGATAACTTTGCTAGTGGCCATGTAATATAAATCTCACGTTTATTTGTTTCCTTTTTTTTTTTAATTAAACGAAAACTTCATTGCAGACTGAGTGAAGGTTCACAGAGCAGATCATCAGTTTTACATTCAGCAAATCATATACTTTACTTCATCACAGTGATTACAATCCCCTCCATGTACCATCAGTTAACAGCATTTACCTCTATTCACTTTAATGCATGCATTCCTCCCTGTACCTCCCGCTACCTTCATCTTTCCTTTGCTAACTTCCCTCTTATTGTATATTGGCTTCCTTGTCATCTGTGTTAACATGTGTCTACCCAATAGTCCATGAATAATTTCTGCTCCACCCTCCCCCCATAACCTCTTTTATTAAGAAAACCTTTTTTTTTTAACTTTTTACAACATTGGTCAAATACATTACTTATCCTTTTGTGATTGACTAATTTCACTCAGCATAATGTCCTCAAGGTTCATCCATGTTGTGAGGTGTTTCTCAGATTCATCATTATTCTTCAGTGTGCATGGTATTCTGTTGTGTGTATGTACTGAAGTTTGTTTAACTGGTCTTCTGTTGATGAACACTAGGTTGTCTCTACCTTTTTGATGTGTCTCTTGTAGATCGCATATTGAAGGATCCTGTTTTCTTATCCAGTCAGCCTTCTCTGTCTCTTGACTGGTGCATTTAATCCATTTACATTCAGTGTAATTATCAGTAGGTATGAATGGATTGCTGTCATTTTGCTGTGTTTTGTGTGTGTGGTGTTCCTGGTTTCTTTGTTCCACATAATTTTCTGCACTGAGTTCATTTTGTTTGTGGGTTTTTCTTTCATTTTCATTTCTTTTTATTTTTTAAGTTTTTATTGAGAACTGAGTGATATTTTACATGGAAGAACATCAGCTGTATACCATTGTTTCATTGCATTGATTGTAATCTCCTCTGTACCTCGTCATTCAACAGCATTTGCTTCCATTCCCTGTTTTGCTTTTTTTTGGGGGGGATGGGCGGGGGGATGTACACAAAAACAGTCAGGAATATATAATAATTTTAACAGCCAAAGGACACATTCTACAAGCCTGCCTCCTGGCCGCCAGCACCCAGTCCCTCTCTTTCCATGAGTCCAGAGTCCTGAGCTACTCCCTCTCTCCATGCCCCCATCTCTGCCTCCATCTCTGGTGTCACTGCTTCTCTGGATAGGGTTCCACACTCTGTTTGTGCTCTTCTCTCTTGATGGCCCTAGGGAGGGTCCTTGTTTCTGGACTGTAAGATTAACTACTCTCCCATTTTTGTTACAAAATTTCTACCTTTACAGTTGTGACAATTGCGATTAGTCATGATAACAATTACTCACTATTGAATCATAAGAATCTTATCCTCATCTCTTTTCACCAGACCTGTCTAGACAAGATTAAAACTATTCAGTGGGGACTCTACCTTCCCACTCACATTTTAACTAAACTCCCTCTTGAAAATTTATAAGCCAGTCACTTCATGCCCCTATCATCCCCTCATTTCAGGTAGCCAATGTCTAAGTTGCCCGTTCCTATTTACGCTGTATACAGAGGGGATAGGGTTGATATTTGATGTGACGATTCTTTCCCTCTCAATTGGTATTTTGAGCTGTTACATCCGTGAGTATAGGTCAAGTTCATCAAATTGTAACAATTTACACTTGTTTCCTTTATAAAAAATTTTTTTTTTTTTTAAATCTTCCTCTAGTTGAGTTCTAATTATCAAGCCATCGAGGCTAGGTCAAATGGGTACTATCTGCAAGTTTGGGTGTTCTTGTGCATCTCCCCTCATTTCATATCAACTGGATGCTTCACTCTCAGCTCTAGCCCATGGGCTCTGGAGTCTGCAGGTCTCACCACACTTTGGACCAACAAGCCTTTCCTCTTCTCTCTCTCATCTCCAGGTCAACAGGAGTCTATGGAGCATGGTTGAACTCAGCCCATTTCTTCATTGCTGCTTTTCTCCCTTTTCCACTCACCAGTAGACCAATGTGCTCGCCAGCAAGCTTACATGCCTGCTCATGTGTTCCCATTGAGTTTCAGTCTTGGAGTGGGGTTTGTCCTGAAGGGACTTGATTGCTTGCATGGATGGCACCCTGGTGAACAGCTTGCTTGTTCTTGTAGTAGCCAATCTCATTTTCATTTCTGTTGTGTTCATGTTGACCAAATCCTTCAGGTTTTCCTCTTTTTTTAAATTTTGATGTATAAACATATTAATTTTCAGGATAAATTACATGGTATTATTAGAATTTTTTTTCCCTATTTGAGGTCTATTTTATCTTGAAATCTGCTTGACTTTCTAACCATTTGGAAGCTTTGCATCTACACTATTTCCTGTTTTTGCTTTGTAGATGACTTCATTATAAATTTATACCTCTGGTTCCCTATTTTCAGACCTGTAGGTTTGTTTTACTTTAAATACTTCTATATCTGGATTGAGTTTTGGATGGTGTTATCATATGTGGTCATCTCATTTTGTGGTCTGCTATTGTTGGTTCTCAGTCCAAAGAACACCCTTTAGCATTTTTTATAAAGTTGGT